TAGGGCAAAAAAAGCCACAAACATGGAAGTGTAGTCAATTTGAACAATACACAAGGGTAAAATGGCTTGAAATGTTCTACTATTGGTATCATTTTTATTCTAATCATATATAAAGAGCGCATGAGTCTGTATTAACCGATAGCAGTTAACGAACACCAGAATAATTCCTCTGACGCATTAAAAATGATAATGTAATGAAGTCTGACAGAGTCCGTCAGCGGATCAAACACCGTGTCCTTGACATCAGCGGAGACGGCAGAGGTTTGCTGGAGTGTGTTTCACTTCTGAGAGTCTTATCGCTGATCTTCATGTGTTATTCAGTGGTTTATTAGAGTTCAGCACAAAGACTGATTATTCTCCTTCACTGGAGCACATCAGCCTGCAGATCTAGAGGAGCTTCAGTAACACAGGCAGGAGAGTCCAAAGAACAGGACACATTCATTCATCTTCGGCTTAGTCCCTTTATTAATCAGCCGTCTCCACAGCGGAATGATCCGCCAACTTATCCAGCATATGTTTTACGCAGCGGATGTCCTTCCAGCCACAACCCATCACTGGGAAACATCCTTACACACTCAATCACACACACACTATGGTCAATTTTAGCATACCCAATTCACCTGTACCATGTCTTTGGACTTGTGGGGAAAACCGGAGCACCAGGAGGAAACTCACGCGAACACGGGGGGAACATGCAAACTGCACACAGAATTGTCAACTGGCCTAGCCGAGGCTCGAACCAGCGACCTTCTTGCTGTGAAGTAAACATGCTACTCACTGCGCTTCCACGTCGCCCAGAAGTGGACACACTGAAGTCCAAAATTATCGCATGCGTTTTATCATACTCATATGAATAAAAATGTCACATACAAAAACGATGCGTATTAAAGGGCACCTGTGGTGAAAAATCTACTTTTCAAGCTGTTTGGACAGACATCTGTGTAAGTATAGTGTATAGACTGTTATATTGGGGTGGTATAAACACACCCAGTCCTTTTTTGTTTTTTATTTAACAACAATTCAGACTTTACACCAAACAGTTCAGACATTTTTCTTTCTAATTCTGGCATTTTCGTTGAAATTTACAGAAGTTTCTATACTCGTTCTGTCCATTCAAACACACAAAATCCACATGTCTATGTTTTAAGTTTACTTTATGAGAAGGATGATATTGGGGTTATATATCAGTCAGAAATTAGTCAGTTCATTGATTGGTGTGATAGAAATAAGTTAAAAATAAATACTAAGAAAACAGAAGAGATGGTATTTGACCCAAAGTGCATAGGTGACCATCGTCAAGTGGTTGTACATAATGATCCTATTACTCAGTCAGATACCTATAAGTACTTGGGCATTCATATCGGCAGTTCTTTCACATGGAAAACACACATTGATTGGGTTTGTTCTCGTTTACACCAGAGATTGTATTTTTTACGGAGGTTGCGTCTTTTTGGAGTCAACAAGAAGCTCATGATGCTGTTTTATAAAGCAGTTCTTGAAAGCATTGTCAGGTATGGCATTACAGTGTGGTTTGGCAACCTTTCTGTTCAGTGTAAATCTAAACTGATGCATCTCTTAAAGACAGCATGGAAAATTGTCGGGCACAATGAAAATTTTAATCCTCAAGTTTTATATGAGAACTGTGTCCTCAATCAGGTGGATAGGATTGTCAAGGATCCAACTCATTTTTTGTTTCCCCAGTACGAACTGCTTCCCTCTGGTAGAAGATATAGAGTCCCAAAGTGTAGGTTAAACCGTTACAAGAAATCCTTTGTACCTGTGTCAGTGGGTTTACTTAATAAGAGTATATCTTAATTGGCACCATAAATTTTGTAATTGTTGTATTTTATACTGTTTTTTATTGCTTGTTTTAGTGAGTGTCTGCAGCAATATGGCGATGCCCAAAACAAATCTCCTGTCAAGGACAATAAAGTTTTACTACTACTACTACTACTACTAATGTAAGTATATAAACTTGGACAAACTTTGACAGCTGAAAAGCATGTCTGATTGCTGAGACGCTTGAGCCGACTTTATTCAGAAGACACATTTCAGCAATTCCTCAACAGAAAGTCCTTTCATTTTGTGCTTGCTCCAGCTCCAAAAATAACAGCTTACGGCACCTTTAACACTAGCACTACAGAGGCAGCCATTTTGCAGAGGTTCAGCAGATTTCACCAAGTCAAATTAAATAGCAATGAACTGTGTGTCACAGTCATACTGAGGTGATATAAACACAAGAAGTGCCTTTTTTATTTCCTGAGGCTAAAATAGGACCCAAATCCCAATGATTTTGAGGCCGGCAGCAATGCGACTCTGTAGCATGTAGTGCAGTTTTCTCTGCCTACCGAGTTCATTGACAGGAGTGTATTACATGTCTCCATTTAGGGTGGGCCGATAGACGATGACATCATCCATCGCCGATTGCCAAT